ATCTTCATCACTTGTGGACACTGATCAGCACACAGGATATGTAACTTGTAAGTCCACAAGTGATGAAGATACTATAACTAGACTGATCAGCACACAGGATATGTAACTTGTAAGTCCATAAGTGATGAAGATACTATAACTAGACTGATCAGCACACAGGATATGTAACTTGTAAGTCCATAAGTGATGAAGATACTATAACTAGACTGATCAGCATGCAGGATATGTAACTTGTAACCGGATTCTTGGTCGTGTAACTTTATTTAAAGATTTATTTACTGAACTACACTTCACGTTATTGATTGAATCTTTTGTAAGGATTTTACTTTTAATCGGGGGAGAAACATGATAAAAATGACTACAGTATTTAAGTATACATCAGATTAAGGAAAGAAAGATTCTAGCTGGAAAATCTATTAGTATTTACAGAAATTATTACAGACCAAACAAAATCCATTCTTGAGTAGCCTATGTAGTTCCTAACCTCTGTACTGAAATGTGTTCTAGAAACATGACATTATGAAGTGACAGTTGTTTGTATAAACATTTATGAATTACTCAAGGTAGATTAAACCTTCTTAACAATATCACAGAAATTAGTTCTACAACTATGGAACCTGTAATCCTTCTAATATTATTTAGTCATCCGAATACTTTACATATGAAAAAAGAAAATAATAACCTAAAGGTTATTATTATAATAATAATAATAATAAAAAAAATTAATAATTCTGTAAAATGAAACATTAACTTGTATGCCTTTGGAAGATTTTAATTAAAAATTGTAATGATACTTTTTTCTAGATACAATACAGTATTGGAAATAATTATAAAATCCATGTGATATAAGACACAATTTATCATTAGTACATTATTAAAGAGAAAACAATTAAACTGTACAATACATTAGCATTTTGTATTTGCTTTAAACAAGGCATTACAATGTGCTTTTACACTCCCATAAACTTATGAATGTGAGATTGTGAAATACTGTTCCAAATGTCCAGTATTATTCCTCACGATTCAGGCAAGTTGTTTGGTTTTGGTTGTCATTTGACCTTCTGAGTTACTTGTAAGCCCAAATAACCTAATAATATTCACAGCAGGACTCTTTGTAGTCTAAGCCATGGTTGTGTTTCTTTGATATCTTTTTTAACCTCCAGATATCATGCCCCTGTAATATACTGTTTAATATCAGTGTCTTTTTGCAACATGTGTTGTACCTTTCAGCTGTCGGGGTGCCATCAATCTCCAACATCATTGGCTGAAATGCAGCCCATACTTTAACTGGTTCCCCAGCACACTAACCAATATATCATTCTTCCCTCTACCATCAAGCAACTTATTGCTGATAATTGTCAAGTGTTTCATATTTGGATTCATCTGTATAGAGCATCCTCTTTACTCATACCATTGTTCAAAGTCTGATGATAATTTCAACCTTTTTGTTTGGTTATGTTTCCTATACAGTGGTTTTTGAGCAGTTACACATCTAACTGTGCTAATGTCTATGTTATGTTCTGGATGTATCATTTATACTAGTACTTACAGCTGTGTCACTGTAAGATCTTTCCTGAATTGTTATCACATAAAGAGCATACTTTGATTTAGTTAAAATCAAGAATTTAGGCTTTCTATCTCAGCCACATCTTTTATCAACAGTACTAGTAAGTAGGTCCTCTTCAGTTTCCATAGAGCCGTTTCTGAAATGTAAAATTCTACCTCCATCTGTCACGTGGAGTAGACTTCACCAGCAAAAATTTTGATTTCTACATTTTTGTGATGACTGAACTCGCTACCTATTGGTAATATTATAACTGACTGCATTTTTATAGACATTATACTGTTGTGGCATTGTCTTATTGGTTGGATGTCAACCAATCAACCTAACCATACTCTGGTGCAGTTCATTTTCCTAGACTAGAGAGACACAGTTCCATTTTATTCACTGTTTCCATAATTATTTCCAATACTGTATGTGTAAAAAAGAAACAGAAAATTTCACACAGACTTTTGTAATAATCGGATAATTAAAAAAAAAAAGAACAAGTTAGCAATTCTAATTAAAGTAATTTATATCAGAAAATACATTATCTTTAAAATTTTGCACACTATATTTTTAGAATTTGATAAAACCTACAGTGCAAACAGTTGGCAATATTCAATTGTTTTATCCTAAAATGGTGCTGTGTATCTTGTTTTGGACACACAGGAATGAAAAATGTGTATTTAAGGTAGATCCAATATATCATTCTCTTCATAAAGTCGCTGGGTTACCTTATGAACTTCGAGAGCCACTTCTCCTAACTGTTTCATTAAAATACATGCATCTTGTGAAGGGTGGTTGCCAGTAACTTTTTTCAAAAGCTGTTGTTTTGTTGGTAGTGTATACATAGCTAAAAGTGCTCCTTTCTGAATCAGCCAAGGATGAAATTTTGAAAGGGTTTTATTGTAACTCTCTTGAGCTGCAGTGGAAGTTACATCATCATCATGAAGGACAACTAGATTTCCAATAAATGATGCAATGAACTCAAGAGCACGATGGAGTCGAAGGAGCGTCCTTGCTCCGGAAGGACGTGTCTTATCTCTCAGAAGATCGTTGGCACTTTCATAGTCGATCATGGACTGAATGGTTTTATAATGCCCTCCCCTTTCAGATTTTTGATAACTTTCCAAAATGTTGATTTTGCTAATAACATCAGATGCAACAAATGAAAACACCGAACCCAGAAACCCAAAAAATCTGGAACAAAAAAAAAAGTACAAATATTAAAAATAGTTTTTCACTTGCACACTAAAAAATTTTATTTAAAAACAAAAACTCATGGTAAGTTTTCCATGAGAAATAAAATGTAAGCTCATGAAACTGAAAAATATCATTCAAGTACTGTCTGAACATACCAACAGTGGCTTCATCTGTTGACCACGGAAGGAAAACAACTATCATTCAAGTACTGTCTAAACATACCAATAGTGGCTTCATCTGTTGACCACGGAAGGAAAACAACTATCATTCAAGTACTGTCTAAACATACCAACAGTGGCCTCATCTGTTGACCACGGAAGGAAAACAAACTAATAATACACTATGAGATTTGGCCATAATCTCGTAGGCAGTTGTACTCCTAATCGTAGACTGCTACATTTGTAGAGTAATCCTATCATTCACGTTTTACATGTTATTACAATTTTTTTTCCAAGTTTTTCCTATTTACTAATTTAATCTTCTAACCATTCTATACAGAATAATAAAATAAGTGGTATATTTCCATTCTACTATTTGAGTTTATTTCCAAGGGGGACATTTTGTTCCTCTGAGCCATCTCATGTTGTTTTTTTAACTAGCACCCTACTCCAAACCACATATAGAAACCCCCTTTCTGATATTTAAAATTCTGATCCAAACTCTTCTGTAGCTTACACTGCACCTAACAACAAACTGTTTTGTAGGATAATCACCATATTTGAAAAGGGAGTCGTGTTTGAGCTTTCTATATCTTAAACTTATGACCTCTGGTCTTACTGTCTGCAATTTTTATGAAATCATCTGCACTTCAATTCTCTAACAAACTTAAAATCCTTCATGCCTTCTTCTATATTGAGACATTTCAACCTATCATCTCCAACAACTCAACATCCCTTACTAAATAAGATGGCCAAAACTGAACAGAGTACATCAGATGAAGTCTAAGCAGTACCTATAGTGAACTTATGACCTCCTTCAACTTGTCTGTGGATAAAATCGGCTTACATTATTAATAGCCAAATCATATTGTCCAGAAGGCTGTTCTTGAAACTTGGGCTAGTATAGTATGCTCCTATCTTTTCTTCTTGTCACTTTCACCTATAGTTCCTCCAGCAAAAATTATGTTATGATAACCAGGATACGTATCCTTCTGTTCATATTAAAAGGTAAATCTCAAGGTTTTAGTCCCCCTCATCAAATAATCCAAATCTCTGCAAAACTTCAATAACATAAATACAATTTAAAATACACACAATTAATTAATGTACAATGTAAAGTTAATAACCTTTGATGGTTATTCGGTTATCAGTGTCATTAACGAAAATGGGAGATAGCAAAGGATCCAGTATAGATCCCCGAGATACACGACTTACAGCACAGCTACCTTGTACCACCCAGACAACTTTCAATACATTGACTGTAGCAACATTCTACCACACAGACAACTTTCAATACATTGACTGTAGCAACATTCTACCACACAGACAAGTTTCAATCCATTAACTGTAGCAACATTCTACCACCCAGACAACTTTCAATCCATTAACTGTAGCTACATTCTACCACACAGACAACTTTCAATCCATCAATGTAGCAACATTCTACCACCCAGACAACTTTCAATCCATTAACTGTAGCTACATTCTACCACCCAGACAACTTTCAATCATTAACTGTAGCAACATTCTACCACCCAGACAACTTTCAATCCATTAACTGTAGCAACCTTCTACCACCCAGACAACTTTCAATCCATCAATTGTAGCAACCTTCTACCACCCAGACAACTTTCAATTCATTAACTGTAGCAACATTCTACCACCCAGACAACTTTCAATCCATCAATTGTAGCAACATTCTACCACCAGACAACTTTCAATCCATTAACTGTAGCAACATTCTACCACCCAGACAACTTTCAATCCATCAATTGTAGCAACATTCTACCACCCAGACAACTTTCAATCCACTAACTGTAGCAACATTCTACCACCCAGACAACTTTCAATCCATCAATTGTAGCCATATTCTACCACCCAGACAACTTTCAATCTATTAACTGTAGCAACATTCTACCACCCAGACAACTTTCAATCCATCAATTGTAGCAACCTTCTACCACCCAGACAACTTTCAATCCATCAATTGTAGCAATTTTCAATCCATTTAACAATCGTATCTTCTGCTTTAGTAAAGGAGTCTCTTACGTAGCACCTTATCAAAATCTTTTTGACAATCCATGTACACAAGGTCACTGCATTACTCATATATGGGTTAAACATGTTTCTTCTAATATTTTCATACCACTCTTAAGATTTAATACCACAAATGAAGTCACTTAACAGAATGATAATGACATCATCAAAAAGCTTTAAAAAAATCAGTGGCTGTTAAATACTCCATGTTTTTACAAAAACAACAATAACATTAAACACTCAGGTCTACACAAAACACCACTAACCCTGTACTCTCAGGTCTACACAAAACACCACTAACCCTGTACTCTCAGGTCCACAAAACACCACTAACTCTGTACTCTCAGGTCCCACAAAACACCACTAACCTACTCTCAGGTCCACAGTTCAATCAAAGCAACTAAGTTACAATTCCAAGGAACCATTTTCAACTACCAACCTACTACAAACTACAGACATAAACTCTATTTCCTAAACCCAGTTATTTTTTAACAATATGATTAGTTTATTTTCAACTACCAACCTACTACAAACTACAGACATAAACTCTATTTCCTAAACCCAGTTATTTTTTAACAATATGATTAGTTTATTTCCATCTCAATGGCAGTAATATCAGAACTTTACAAAAGTTCAAGAGAAAAGTTGATTCTGTCTTTAAAAAATAAGGTTTTTTTCTTGGGGCTGGGTGTGCAGGGACTTCAAGAACAAAATGTTATTTTAATCCTAATTCCTAGAATATTGATCCAGCTCATTGTTTCCACAGTTTACCACACCTGAAAGTAAACTGTTCCACAGACTGACCAACCTATTAGAAAAGTAACACTTACTTACTGGAGTTGTGTCCAGTTATTTGCCTATTTTAAACTTGTGTCCACTAGTCTTATTTTTTTGTAGATTTAAAACATTGTCTTTTAGATACGGGTTATTTGTGATCAATATATTATTTACTTAAAAAGCAAATGCTTCATATGCTAAAATGTTAGCTCCACCATAAACATTTGTATCTAATCACACCAGATTGTAGTTTACTGTATCACTAAGTTTTGTAGAACAATTAAACCAGTTCTGCTTTGGTAAATTGTTTCACCTTCTGTAAAAATCCTGAAAATTTTGAGATAAACTTAAAGTTAGGTTTAATACTCCTGAAGCAGAACTGTTTAAACATGGTTTGCAACCACCTCAAATTTAAATAACAGGAAATTTTCTCTCTATACATATCATTTGTTAAGCTTCACTTCGAATACTGTGCTCAGTTGTGGTCTCGGAAATGATATTGACTTATTATTCTTTAATAATCACTGATAACCTTAAATACCCAATTACTATATTTATTTGCTTTGCTCTTCCAAGCAGCAATGACGAACAATAAATACAGTAAAAACCACTATGTTACAGTGTAAATGTTTTACATCGTCTTTTCTTCACTGAAATGGATGTTTTCATGATGAAAAGAAAGTAACAAGCAGATGGATAGAAAGATTGTCTTATGGGAATAAGTTAAGTACTTTTAACCTATTTTCCTGTGAGAAATAGTATCAAATGTTCTTATGGAACTTTAAAAGACTATATGGGGGATTGATGGAATAAAATCTCTGATTTCTATGTACTACATACTGAAAGATAATAGGATGATAACCTGCTAGGCTCCAGTTAAAACAGTTCAATTTTAGTAACATATAATTGAGTTGCCATTGGTAGTAGTGGAGAATACCATTTTAAAAAGGTGTAAATGGGGAATCAAATTCCTACTCCAGTTTAATTGAAGTCCCGACAATGAAATTCCACAGAGACTCAGCTGTTCTTTATAGCTTAGTTCATTAGCGTAAATAAAAGAAATGATAGAGATGAATTAAACCAGGAAAACTTACATTTACATACAAGCTAACTGAATGTGGTAAACAAACATACATACACGGAATATGGCAAGGTTTAACCAAAATGTACGAGTCTCTCGTACACAAATAATCAGATTTATTACCAAGGTATATGTACTCAAGATACATCTGTGAATTGTAGAAACAGTCTGACTCAGATTCTGACAAGTCAGAGTGAAGATGATGTTCGTGCGAAGAATAAAAATACTTTTGTCCAACGTACAGTTTGAAAATTCTATTTCTATAACCTCCAAATCCATATCTACTGGTGTTTTTTTTCAGTATTCCTGTACAGTGTATCTGGTATTTACTGTCTCTCTACCAACGAAATGTCACTAAATCAGCAGTGGATAGTTAAATGACTAGTTGATAACTCTGACATCACATACATAATACCATATTGAACGGCACTGTAAAAGGTCATCACTTGCACACTTTGAACCTCACTGATGTGCATAAGGTTAGAGCTTAGGCTTACGAAGTTAACGGTTAAAGTGAATAACGTAACGTTCCTACGAATGTAATACAATTACAGTAGTACTACTACAACAGTACAATTTTGTTCTAACTGCTGCAAATCTATCATATTTACAATACCAGGAGCTAACACTAACGGTAATACTAATGTACAGTGATAGAATTAGAAAGTTAAACAATTTACTTGTAGCTCATGTAGTAAAAGGTCAGAAACACATGCTTAGAAAATTACAATTTTTTGTTAGAAACCTTCTTTTGACACTACAAAGATTAATCATATAATAACACTGTCAGAAATTACATTGTTAGCAATGTTACCACAGAAACTCAACCAATGAGTACCACAATTCTGTTGAGAAAGTACCAAAGTAGTACCACACACACACACACAAAAAAGTACCCAAAAATGTGCCACTAACCTTAAATTATTTGGCTTCTATCAAATAGTTTCTTTGTTTGCTAATTAATAAACCTTCCAGTACTTATCTTAACTATGTGTGTTAAATATTTCATTAGCTAATATCACGTATGGTAGAGTGTACAACATTTAACAGCATGGCTCAGTGGCATGGTGTTTTAGACTAGTAATCAGATGGGTGCGAGATCCAGGATGGCTTCCTCAGCAAGATGCTGTACCCGAGTTATCTAGCTTAGCCAGCTGTTAGTTGGGTCACTATTCTCATCCGCTTGTGTCACTTAAAACCGGTGTTGTAAAGCACCAGCCCCAAGTGCCTTGCGAGGGTTACAGCAAGGATTTAACTTAACTATCTAATAGTATTTAACACTACATGTTTTACTGTAATAACTCTCTCCTTTTTCTTAAGACTAGCTTTGACCTTTATTTTAATTTTCCCTCTTATTAGACAATTAATATCACTGTTAGTACATTTAATACAGTATAGGACTACAGCAAGTATTATATTAGCCTATCTATGAAAGTATTCTTTAAAAATGCATACTGTAATAATATGATTTTTACGAGCTGGCATATTACAAACCCAGCTGATTAGGGTCTAGATAAATTTAATTGGTGTCTCGTGACAAACCTCTGTACCACCTGAGAAGGACTAGCCTATAGCCAGGGTGCCAAAACAACAACAACAAAAAACTTAGGGTTGTTGGCCTTTGTCAGGGCAGTTTGGTTCTTCCTACTGAGCACATTTACTTAGTTGATAACTTGAATTATGATTAAATTAATTGATGTAATTATGTAGTAAACCATGATAAACATTACAAGAAATTACAAAGTTTGAATACGGTCCAATTTAAAAACTTAACAACTAGATTTTCAAATTTGGAATTGATCTGATTTTTCAGTGGAAAATGTTAAATTGTTTGCTTTTTTAGCATCCTGCCTAATGTCTATATAAACTAGTTTATTAAAACATTTACTGTAGTTAAACTAACACAGTATAATTGGTATCAACTGCAGGGAATTTGCTAGTAAACTAAATGTCATCTCAATCACATGATATATGGTAATGCAAATATAACTGCCCACTCTTGTTATTGATAACTAGTTGGATATTCTGGCATAATTTTACATATTTTCTAATTGAATAAGTTATTTCACTTATAATTAAGTATTCGCATGTTTCTATCTTCAACCACCAAAGTAGCAACATCCTTGATCAACTACAATAAACAGATAACAGATCATCACACTGACAACAAAAACAGTAACTCAAGTATATAATAAATTGAACAACAAACGTGCTTGCATCCAGAGATAACATAATAATGTCCCATATCTTATAATCATGTTTTAAATTATGACTAACAAAGATACCAACATAATACAGAGCAATTACTTAATTATAATTCATTTAAGCACTATTAGCTATGCTTTTATCACATAAATTTATAAATTATTTGATTTAAAAAATCAAATTAAATAAAGTTTTCTATTTTAAATAAAACACATTTGACACACCTAAATAAGCTCAGCGGCATACCATCATACTAAAATTACCAAAAGTTCCACCTATGGTAACACTGACTGTTAATGTTAATTATAACTTATACTTACAAGTTACAGTTTATTCTCGGAAATTCAGAGTCAGATAAATTAAGTATCATTATTACTAACTTATAATTGTGTATTAATTATGATTTTATTTTTAGTAACGTTGCATACCTGTACAGTTCCATATACCCTTTCAAATAACTGTCCAAACTTATTCCAGAGACGTCCTCCATACATTTTTCAAACGATTCACAAACAAATCTCGCATCAAAATAATCTTTCTTTCCTGAGCCATTATTTACATCTTCAGAAGAAGACATTTCCTCAACTAGACTAGCAATATTCGAAACTGCTAACACTACATTTCAACAACGAAGAAAACAGTGTGGACTATTAGCACGGTTGTTGTCTTTACTTTGTTTCTAGCATACTTCGACTAGCTTTACTTATTTTTAATTAATTAAAAGCATCCTAATTAGTTAATAATAATGTTATAGTGAATTTAATTACTGTTAATTAAATTAAAGTATTTTAATGTGACTTTACTCATACGTTTTTCGCCATAATTATATACATGTATATAATTTTTAAGTTAAAATGTTAAATAAAACAGACGAAAGCGAGATCTTTTCCAACATCATATAATATTTGTATCTAAACAAGCCAAAGCTAATTTAATTTTTTTATCCATTCATTAACTTCTTTAAACTGTTGTGATAGTACGATAATGTTAATGTTATTTTTTATTGTTGTTTTATTTAATCAGTGTAACGTTACTACTCGATAGTAACTATTCAACAAATTAATTTTCAATATACGTAAAGTGCAATATTTACGACACAGCCGTGTAGAAAAGTGATGAAATATTAATTTGTGAAACACATTGTTTTATCTTAATTTTATTTTCAGTTAGAAGACACAACCGTTGTTGACATTATTTAATATGTTATTGCAAATTTACTACTACTAGATTACAATATAAGAAAATAAAGCATAATTCCAAAAAAAATATTGCTCATAAATATGTGTGAAAGAAATATAACTTGTGTAATAATAATAAAAATAAATAAACACGCCAGAAAAAAAGCCTCATCAATAATTAAGGACTCTTAAATTTTTACAAAGCTTATTATCCTATATCTTTATAATTACATAATTAGGGACCCCCCAGTGGCACAGCGGCATGTCTGAGGACTTACAACGCTAGAAACAGAGTTTCGATATCTGTGCTCTGCCCACCACGGGTGCTTAACTTTGTGTTTAACTTCAAAGAAACAAACAATAATTAGTGACTCTTAATTTCTTAAAAGTATTATTATTTTATATCTTTATAATTAACAACATAAAATCGTTGTTACAAGAAATGAATCTAATCTATCATCAAAATAAAGGCGTTGGTCGAAACGTCGAATGAAATAAATTACTTATAATTTCAAGTGACTGAAGTATGTGTGTTATGGGCTATTTGTGCATTTTTTTGTTTATCTTTTTTAGACGTTTGTATCAATGTCGGTTAGAAGAAGATCTGACATTTGTAATACATGGACGTACTATATATTTTCCACTATTTAGTTTAAAATTAAAAATTTCCAAAATATTGTTGCGTCATCGAGATCACGTGACAATTCTCACGCCCTCTTGTTTCTAGAAC